AGACCCCTTTTCGAAGGAGAAAACGCCATAAACATACACTTCTGGCGAAAGTGCAACGCAACGGAGTCTGGCTCGGACAAGCACAGAATCGAGACAAATCCGTCCCAGAGCGTTCCGGAGAGCCCTTAGAGCCTTCCGGTCGGGGCTCAAGAGGCGGGGGCCCACTCGAAGAAGAAATATAACCGCATGAACATACACTTTTGGCGCTCCGCGCGGACTTCTTGGATCGGCACCTGGGCCCCCTTGGCGGGCCTCCGGCGGCGTTTCGGGCGCCGCCCCTGGCGCACTCCGCCCGCCAAGGAAGGTGGTCCAGCGCAGATCAAAGAAATCCGCGCGGAGCGCCAGACGTTTATGTTTATGGCGTTTGTCCTTCTTCTACCCATGGGACCTTCCGGGAGATTCCTGGATGGGGGCAGCAGCCATCTGAGAATCCGCAGGCGAAGATCAGTATGCCAGAAAACCGTTCTGTCACCGGCTGGCCTGTCCCAGGGCGGCTGGACAGTTTGTAAACTGACGTGCCACCGTAGTGGTAGAAACTTTCCAGCTGCCCTGGGACATGTACCCCGACGGCGGAACAGTTTATTTATACCGTTCTTCGCACGTTGAGAAAAGCCTGGCCGGGGGGCCTTGAATGTCCATCGCGCCTATCAATGGAGGACTGCGTTTCATACCGACCCTGCCCACCTCGTGGTCGCCACTGATCGACGAGCGCGTTCACTTCTCGCAAAGTAGCTACTCGCAAATCGCCTGGATCCGCCGCGGGGGATCTACGATATACATAGCACCCCGCAATTGCGGATAGGAGTGAGGGGGCGGGCGCGGGCGACGCGGACGTCGTCGAGCCGGCGGACCTCGTGGCCCCCACCTTCCCTGTCGATGGCGCTCTCCTCCTCCTCGTCCTCGTCCTCCTCCTCCTCCTCCTCCTCCTCCTCCTCCTCTTCCTCGTCCTCGTCCTCGTCCTCGTCGTCATCGTCATCCTCCTCCTCCACATCGTCCTCCTCTTCTTCCTCGTCCTCCCTCTCCCGCCCTCGTCCTTCCATCATCGTCCTCCCATTGTCGTCCACCCCCCATCGGCCTCCATCACCGTCCTCCCATTGTCGTCCACCATCATCATCATCCATCATCATCATCATCATCATCATCATCATCATCATCATCATCATCATCATCATCATCATCATCATCATCATCATCATCATCATCATCATCATCATCATCATCATCATCATCATCATCATCATCATCATCATCATCATCATCATCACCATCATCATCCCCCTCCTCCCCCTCCTCCCCCTCCTCGTCCTCCTCCTCCCCCTCCTCCCCCTCCTCGTCCACCTGCTGCTCCTCCTCCTCCTCTTTCTCCACATTCTCCTTACATCCTCTCTTCTTTCGCGTCCTCCTCGTCCCCTGTCTCCTCCTGCCTCCCCCTCCTTTCCCAAGATAACGGCAACGCAATCCTTTTTTCATCTTTACGCTCCTCGACTTCTCTGATCAAGGCAACTCGCCAGGGCAAAGTTGCTGGACGGGCTGGTGTGGATGCGCGGTTGCGGGCGCCGACGGCATGCAAAAATCCGCCGCCGCGCTTGTGCGGCATTGGTTTGTTCAGTGAACGTGGTTTGGGTCGCGGGTGGGTCGCGGGCTCTCCACCTCCACCTGGGAGGAATGCAAAAGCAGCCCGCCGCAGGCGCCGAAAAATTTGGTTTGTACACTGAACGTGGAATGGGTCGCGGGTGGGCCGCGGGTTCTCCACCGGGGACGAATGCACAAGATGCCCGCCGCAGGCGCCGAAAAATTTGGTATGTACCCTGATCGTGGTCGCGGGTGGGCCGCGGGCTCTCCACCCGAAACGAATGCAAAAGATGCCCGCCGCAGGCGCCGAAAAATGTGGTTTGTACCCTGAACGTGGTTTGGATCGCGGGTTGGTCGCGAGTTGGTCGCGGGGTGGGTCGCGGGCTCTCCACATGGAAGGACTGCAAAAAAAGCCCGCCGCAAGCGCCGAAAACGGTGGTTTGTACCTTGAACGTGGTTTGGGTCGAAGGTGGGTCGCGGGTAGGTCGCGGGGTGGGTCGCGGGTGGGTCGCGGGTGGGTCGCGGGTGGGTCGCGGGTGGGTCGCGGGTGTGTCGCGGGGTGGGCTGCGGGCGGGTCGCGGGGTGGGTCGCGGGTGGCTCGCGGGTGGGTCGCGGGTGGGTCGCGGGGTGGGTCGCGGGTGGGTCGCGGGGTGGGTCGCGGGTGGGGCGCGGGTGGGTCGCGGGTGGGTCGCGGGGTGGGTCGCGGGGTGGGTCGTGGGGTGGGTCGCGGTTGGGTCGCGGGTGGGTCGCGGGTGGGTCGCGGGGTGGGTCGCGGGGTGGGTCGCGGGGTGGGTCGCGGGGTGGGTCGCGGGGCGGGTTGCGGGTGGGACGACGACAACAAACAACAACAAACAACAACAAACAACAACAAACAACAACAACAACGAGAATCCGCACCGCGAAATCCCACTTCAGCCACGCACCCAGGGACAGTGAATGACCGTTCGGCCCCCTCACTCTGATTACATCGAAGCACACATGTCTTTTTCAAGCGTTTGCGGGTAGGCACTTTGCGAGCAGTGGAACGCGCCCGAGAACAGATCACAGCTCCTCGTCCTCCTCCCGATCGTCCTGGAGAGGCGGAGGAGGCGTGAGGCATACGGTCAAGGCATTGAAGCAAGGACCACTCTGGGTTTGGGACGGACTCTCTGTTTTGTGGGGCCGTTCGAGGAAACCTCCTCCTCCTCCTCCTCCTCCTCCTCCTCCTTCTCCTTCTCCTCTTCCTCCTCCTCCTCCTCCTCCTCCTCCTCCTCCTCCTCCTCTCCTATTCAGGTCGGGAAACCTTTTCGTGGTCGAGGGGCGCCGTGGCCCGACAGCCCCCATTCGTGTCTTATTCGGCGCTCTTTGTCGCATCACGGTGGTTGCCACGAGGAGCAGAGAGGAGACGAAGGATGCAGGAGACGTATGGGAAGCAGCAGCAAGCTGCAGGTAGACTGGTGGCCTTGGCATTACACTCTATAGTTTGTGGGAGGCGATCATAGGATGTGTGGGGAGGGGGGTGCTGCGTGCGGCACTTCGGGGAGAGTTCGTTCCCACAACGTTGGGACATATACTTTGGAAGGAGGGGGCGTAGAGGGTGAGGGGAAAGGGGGAACTAACAAGGAGAGAAGGAGGCAGAGGAGGGGTAGGAGGAGGAGGAGGAAGAGGTGGAGGAGGATGGAGTTGTTGTATGTGCTTTGCCAGATCAGGGCCTCTGGAAGCCCTCGGGGAGCTTCTCTGAAAGCTCCTGGGGACCTCTGGTGAACTCTGGAGGGGGGAGGCCGGAGGGGACAAGGGAGTCGGGAGGGGAAGAGGAGAGAGGGGAAGGGAAACGAGATGGACAAAACAAGGGGGAGACGGGAAACACGAGGTGATGGAAGAGAGGGGGAAAGGTGAAGGGCCCGGCCAGAAGGGACACGGCAAGCTAGCTGCGTTCGCGCTTTATATGACATCCACTTCCTCGCACACATCCCTTCCCATTCCGTTGTTCCGTATGTCCGCCGATGGGTGTCATAGCAGACTTGGACCCCCCGAGTGACTCCGTTGTGGCATGCGCAATCACAAGCGGGGAGCTGCGTACAGGAGGGGGAGGAGGGGGGATGAGGAAGAAGGATGGCGAGGAACAACAGATACAGCAGGCGCGTGAGTGGGAGAATCGGGAGGAGCAGGATGACCAGGGGAAGGCGGGGAGGGGAGATGAGTAGGGCGACAACGATGAGGAAGCACTCGGATCCAGACAAATTGCCCGTGCCGTAGCGAGAACGCCCTTTTTGAGCGACAGGAGCACAATGCCGATCCTAGAATGGGACCAGCGTTGCAGGGGGAGCACAATGTTGAGACGCCGAAGACGCTCCGATTGAAAACACCGACAAGACTGATCAACTCGAAGAAACACCAAACCGTGAAATCCTATACAGTGCGCGCCGGGGGGCGGGCCACGCCCTGGCTATCTTCGGGGGAGAGAGGAGAGAGTAGTACTCATGTTTGGGAACTGTGGGGAGGGGGGGTGGAGGAAGGAGGGAGGAGGCGGGAATTGAGGGGGGAGGGGAAGGGGGAGCATAGAGAATCGTGGAAAGGCGAGGAGAGAGGAGAACAGAGGGAGGGGGAAAAGAGACGAGAAAGAGAGAGAGAGAGAAAACAACAAGAGAGAGAGAGAGAAAGAGCCAGAGAGAGAGAGAGCAAGTTGTAGATGAGCAGAGGAAGGGAAGGCTGCCGAGTGCTTGATGACGCTATTGGGATCCCGGATGCGAAACGAATATGTTTTTCGTTTCAAGTCATGTTCTCCCCGACGCATGCTCTGCCAGTGCTGTCCCTAAGTTCTGCCGTCCTGCCACCCAATCCTCCCTACTGGTCCTCCTTCCCGCCCACGCGTTCCCCTTTGTGCCAAGGCGGCTTCCCCCCTGCCTGGCCGCAAAGCGCCGGGCCGGGAGGGAAAAGCCGACCGCTACCTGCTCCCTCTCCCCTTCCTCCCCCTCTTCTTCCTCCTCTGCCCCCCTCATCCCCCTTTTCCTCCTGCCCCTCCTACTCCTTCCCCACCTCCCCTCGTCTCTCTTCTCCCTAGCTCCTCCTCCATTATCCCCCCTCCTCTCTTCTTCTTCCTCCGCGCCCTCCTTCCCTCCTCGTCCCCTCCTCCTCTTATTGTCATTCCTCCTCCTGCTCCTCCTCCTCCTCCGTCCCTTCCTGCCGAGACGGCCCTGGCGCCCCCTCCCCTTGCCCTAGACGCCTCCTAGATGAGGTCGGAGTAAACGGCGTCGGAGGATCGCGCCGCATCGCCGGCGACGTCGGCGATGCCTCGGCGCCATCGACGTGAAGCAAATCGGGCTGCACATCGAGCCGCATCGGCGATGCATCGGCGATGCGGCGCGATTCTCCGACCCCTTCTGGGAGGCCTATAGCCCTGGCGCCCCCTCCCCTTGCTCGCCGCCAGAGGCGGGCGGCGGCGCCCCGGCCTGAGCCTTTTCCCGCCGGTGCGGAAGAGCGCCTGGACGGACTCGGCGACCAGCCTGCTGGAGGCCTCCGGTGAGCAGCGCGGAGCGGTGGGGAGCGGAGCGCGCACCGTCGGTCCGACGGACCAGCCCTATGATGGCAACGCGGGCGGGCCGGGGCCCCAAAGAGGGCCTCCTCGCTAGCTCTGGAGCAGAAATGTGCTGCCTCACTCCTCATGCAAAGAGAGGAACATGCCCATGACGCGAGGGAGGCGTCGGGCCGCGCCAAACGCAGGGGCAGGGCCGTCATGGCCCATCGGGGAGGGGCTCATCCTCCTCCACGGAACGAGAGCGGGCCCGCTCGCGGGCCTGGGTTTCCAGGGACCGCGCTTCGCCCTCCGACAGGCCAAAAAGGGCCTCCTCGACCGAGGTCAATCCCAGGGGCCCCGCTCCTCGCTCGAAACTTCGAACTCGACAAATGGACGGCAGCCTGGCCCTCACTCCTACTGGACTCCTCTGAGTCCTCCAGGAAGGGCACCCACTGCTGGGTCTCGAACTGGTTCAGCCCGCCTGCCTCCTGGACCGTACAGCTCGAACTGGACAGGGGATGAAGCCCCCTCCCTATCCTGGATAGGTTCCTGGCTCCAGTGCAGGTTCGGCTCCTCCTCCTCCTCCTCCTCCTCCTCCTCCTCCTCCTCCTCCTCCTCCTCTTCCTCTTCCTCATCCTCTTCCTCCTCCTCCTCCTCCTCCTCCTCCTCTCTCCTCCTCCCCTCCTCCTCCCCCCTTCCCCCCCCCTCCCCCTCCTCCTCCTCCTCCATCCTCCTCCTCCTCTCCTCCTCCTCCTCCTCCTCCTCCTCCTCCTCCTCCTCCTCCTCCTCCTCCTCCTCCTCCCCCTCCCCCTCTCCTCCTCCTCCTCCTCCCTCCTCCTCCTCCTCCTCCTCCTGCTCCTGCTCCTCCTCCTTCTCCTGCTTCTCCTGCTCCTGCTCCTGCTCCTCCTCGTTCCTGCAGCTGCTCCTGCTCCTGCTCCGCCTCCTCCTCCTCCTCCTCCTCTTCCTCCTCCTCCTGCTCCTGCTCCTGCTCCTGCTCCTGCTCCTGCTCCTGCTCCTGCTCCTGCTCCTGCTCCTGCTCCTCCTCTTTCCGACGGACCGGCCCTACGACGCCAACGCGGGTGGGTTGGGGCCCCGAAGAGGGTCACGACGCGGCATTGGCGAACTTCGTGCGGAATTGTAGTGATGAAGCTGGAGTCGGAGAGATGGGAGCCAGTGCCAGGGCTGGAATCAGAGTAAGAAATGACACTCTCGACTCTGCTCTTCATTCGGCGGGCAGAGCGGATAGCGAAGGGGCAGTGCAGGGGGCGAGGAGGGCGAAAGTGATGACAACGATGATGAGTAGAGGAGGAGGAGGAGGAGGAGGAGGAGGAGGAGGAGGAGGAGGAGGAGGAGGAGGAGGAGGAGGAGGAGGAGAGGAGAGGAGGAGGAGAGGAGAACGAGGTACGGAGAAGGACGAAGAGGAGGGGGAGGAAGATACATCATTATTTCAATAAGCGCCGCACGATGCTTTCCTTCTGACGGCTCTTCATCTTCCCACGAGCCCGAGCCTGCTTGACGGGCCAAGTGCAGCCCAAGATAGTCCACGAGGCCCTCACGAGCCCGCATTGTATTCCAGAGAGGCCCGAAACACAAATATGAATGTGTGTATGTAATATATATATATATATATATAATATATAATATATATATATATATATATATATTTATGCATGTGTATATACATATATACACATACATGCATGTATGCATACAAGCATACATACCTACCGGCCGACCGAATGGCCTACCTACCTACCTGCCTACCTACCTATCTACGAACATGCATGCATGCATGCATGCATGCATGCGTGCATGCAAGCATACATACATACATACATACATACATACATACATACATACATACATACATACATGCACAGCATACCCTACCATACCATACCATAACCTACCTTACAGTACAACACATAATCTTGCAGTACATTGCAAGACATACACACATGCATATATACATACATACATGGCATGAATGCAGGCAGTCATGTATACATACGCACATACCTACAGGCATACGTGTATGCATGCATACATGCGTATATGTATTCATTCATTCGTTCATATATATATATACTAGAACCACGCGCGCGCTTCGCGCGCGCTTAGGTTCTAGCTAGGATCGTCACCGTCGTCATCATGAACATCACCATCGCCATCATTCCCCCCGTCAGGGCTAATGTACATCGTTTCTGGATGCTTCTGGCCGGAATACGAAAGGAGTTTCTGTAGTTAGAGTCTCTGGGGGAAGTCGCGGGGAAGCTTTTGTTGTCTTTGGTGTTGCGTCGCCAGGAGGTCTGGGTTCCCTCCTCCTCGTGTTCCTACCTCCTCTCTGGACGTCCGATGTCGTGATGCTTTCTGTGCGCGGCCCCTGGACCTCTCGACGACTTCCTGGGGATGTGTTTTTTTTCATCCTGAGTCGTTTTCTGACGGTCCCGGGACCCTGCGAGGGGCCCCGGAGGCCGAAAATTGACCGAAACCGCCGTCGTGATTTTTCCAAGACGTCGGAGGTCCAGGTCGTGCTTCCCGCCTCCCCAGACCTCCGACGTCGTAATTTTTGCGACCTCGGGCCCAGGAATCGATTGGGAAAACGCACATGGGAAGGCAAGAAATGATGGACCCATCATTTCGTACCTGTGCCTTGATCAGTGGGACGGGCTTCGCACCGCCGCACATCACAAGACACGCTCGAGCGGATCCAGCCGTGGCGACGTCGGGGACTGCAGAAGGTCGCAAGGACACGGAATCTGAAAGGAAGAAAGAGAAAGAGAGAGAAAGAGAGGGAGAGAGAGAGACAGACAGACAGAGAGCGAAGGAGAGAGAGAGAGAGAGAGAGATGGAGAGAGAGAGAGAGAGAGAAGAAGACAGAGAGAGAGAGAGGCAGAGAGAGGAAATGGAGAGGAGGCGAGCTTGAGTCAACGAAAGTCGCAGGGAAGGGGGCAGGGGGAAGAAGGCCAGAGAGCGCTGAAGGATACAAATACTGGAACCCTCTTGGGATTTTTTGGGGGGCCTCGTCCGGCCGCTCGCTGGGAGTTTGACGTAGCTTCTTGTGAGCCTCTGAACCTGTCGGGGGCCTCCTGGAAGCAGGTTCGAAGCATTGTGGGGGCCGATTTGGGGCTTCTCGGGGCCTCCTTTGGGCCTCTTGGGGGTCTCCTGGGGCCTCTTGAGGGGCCTCCTTGGGGCCTCCTGGCGGCCTCTTGGGGCGGAAGGCTCGAGCTTGCGGTTCGTGGTCCCCCTCTGGGCCCCCTCTTGGGCCCGTCTTGGGGCCCTCTTGGGCCATCTTGGGCGCCTCTTGGGCCGTCTTGGGGCCCTCTTGGGCTGTCCTGGGGCCCTCTTGGAAGCTTCTTGGGCCGTCTTGGGGCGGTCTTGGGCGCCTCTTGGGCCGTCCTGTAACGTCGGAAAGCCCAAAAGACAACTTTGTTGAAAATGTACGTTTTACGAAGGGAATGGGCAAATTTTTGCGTCTAGGGGCCCTCTTGGGACGCATGTTGGAGGCTTCTTGGGGCCTCTTGGGGGCGTCCTTGGACGTCTGGAGGCCATCTTCAGCATCTCGGAGCCCTCTTGGAGGCCTCTTGGAAATTTCTTGGGCCGTCTTGGGCGCTTCTGGGGCCGTCTTGTCTGACCGGGGAGGCCTCCGGCAAGCCCCGACGAGCCTCCGGGCCCCCCGGGGTGCACATTTGTGGTCGAGGTCCCGGCCCCGGGCCCCCGGACCGGGTGCGCCGTTATATGTATACACATACCTAAATGACTGCATGCATGCATAAGTACGTACGTACCTACCTACATGCATACGGCAGGTTCGTGTCGTGCCGACCCCAGCGTTGGTTTTTGACACCGCAGGGATCGTTCAACCTTGAACGATCGGCCGCTGCCGCAACGATCGATCGTTCAACATCGATCGATTCTGGGTCGCCGGCGGCGTTCAACCTTGAACGCCCGCGCTGGGGTCGCCTTTTTTTTTGAGCTCAACTCCTCACGGCTTCGGACTCGAGCAGCGGCGCCGGGAACGCTGCAAGCTGGCCCGTAGGCTCAGATGATAGACACTACAGTGGACCACGACGACCTGCACGACGTGGACGCACCTAGCGGGCGGCTATAAACAAGGGGGTGCCGCCGAACCCCCGCCGTGCGCACGAACATGACCGACTCCCCGAAGACGTTCACACGCGCCCGCGGATGATCGCCTCCGCCCTCAGCATGAGGGCCCTCCTCGCGTCGGCCTCCTCGTCGCACACGGCGTCGGCGCCAGCAGCAGCAGCCCCGCCAGGCGCACCAGGCACCGCCGCCGCGCTCGGCACCGCAACTCCAGCACCAGCACATGCTCCAGGAACGCCGCCAGCACCGCCAGCGGCAGGAGCAGGGGCCGCGCCAGCAGCGTCAGCGGCGCCCTCCACCACCGCGGTGTGGTCGGGCGCGGGCCGCCGCTGCCTCTTGCGCGCCACCCGCGGCGGCAGCGCGTCGGCCCACTCGTCGTCCAACGACATCCCGTCGTCGTCCTCCGTGGGCCCACCGACTCCGACATCAGCGGCAGGCAGCACAGCGCGCCCAGCAGCGCGCCTCTCCGCCAGGCGGCGGCGGCGGCGCCGCCTCCGCTCCAGCTTCGCCTCCGTCGTCTTCGGCTTGTCCTTGAAGTCCTCCATGACCTCCGGAGCCGCCTCGGCCGCGGGCGGATCGGCAGGCCCCGACAGCGCGAAGAGCGCCGCCGAGACCGCCGAGCGGGCCACGGCCGCAGCCGTGCGCCGCGGCGCGTTGGCACGGATCGCGCCGCGCACGGCCGCCTCCACAAGGGCAGCCGCCGCAGCGGGCGCGAGAGCTCCTCTAGCCCGTCGAGCTCCAGCCATCGCGGACGACCGAAGCGAAGGGCTTGCAACCGCTTGAGCCAAAATGCGCTGGGGTCGCCGCCGGTCGACACGACTCAAACCTACCGTACATACATACATACATATATGCATACATGCATGCATGCATACACGCATACATGCATACATGCATGCATCCATACACACATACATGCATAAACCCACCACCATACATATATATCTACATACACGCACACATGCATGCGTGCATGCATGCATACATGTATACATGCACGCATGCCCACATACGTACACACCTACATGTATACATTACCGTACAGCGCGTTCGAGTACGTTATAATACACTACATTATATTACATTACATTGCATTGCATTGCTGTACGATACATCAAACACCTTA